AAGTGCTTCAACCCCTCGTCTGAATCCCTAAACCCCCGCACATTTGGATCATGTGCGTATTTGCGTCAGTTGGATTTGCCTTCTTCATAGTTTGGGATCGACAGGTAAAGATGTGTTTGAATAAACCCTAGTGCGGGGGGCAGCCAAGAAAGTTTTCACACAAAGAGACGCATGCAGCAAGATATGTGATGGTATTGGGAGAAAAGTGATGAATCTGTGCACCGAAAAAGTTCAAGAAACCCCAGAAAAAAGGATGCGGAGGCAGAGTGAAACCGCGATCGACATGGGTTGCAATGAGGATGCGCTCACCCTCTTGCGGTTGAGGCTCGGACTCGTTCCCCGACAACCTCCAAGATTCGTGGGCAATCAAGCCTGCGCTGGCCAGGTCCTCCAAGTCTTTTTTCTAGATCATAGATCGAATCCAGTCCCCCTGGATCCAACCAGGTGGCAAACCGGACCTCGACGACGACCTTGCCCTTTGCTGCCGCCGCCGCCTTCTTTGAGTGCTCTAGAGCCGTCGTATTGTCCTTCCCCATGGCGGAGGGACGCGCATGGGCCGAGCGGGGGTGACAAGAGCAGAGGAGAATGCGGTGGAGGAGCAAAGGAGGAAGAAATCGATTGGGGCACACTGTGCATCGCATCGACCCAAACGCTATTTATAAGGCCACTTCCGAGTGGCTGACATGTGGGCCCGAGTAATCTTGTCAAATCCCACAACATTCGCGCGCCCGATACATGGCGAAAATGGCGGCGCAAGGATCGAGGAGCCCCGGTCTATCCACTCCAATAACTACGGCATGCTCCGTCCTGCGCGCTTCTCCAAATTTTCGAATCCCATGAGATCCGGGAGCCGTAGAGCAACCAACTGTGCCCAAGATTTCACATCACAACAACACTCGAAGATCATCAGCATAACTCACTCGACGGCTTTTGAATTGATCAAGGCGACTGAAACGAGGTTGAAGCCCCAGCATGATTCACAGATTCCAGTGAAATGCCTCCGAAGCATTAAATAGAGTCAGGATCAACTTCAACTCTTTTTTCACTCGGTCCTCAATCCATTCGGGGGCTAATGACGATGACATGTACCTAGGGTAGGGTCATAGGCCTGACCTAGACGCCCTACCCAAGGACACTGCCCTAGAGTCATAGACATTCAAACTATGGCAGAATATGCCGACTGAAACCACCTTGGAATGCAATCCACTCGACCGGCTACCTCAGTCGGTACCCCAATTCCATTCGACCAAGAAGGAATCACTCGACCACACGAAGAACCACTCGGAGAACGGAAGGTCTAAAGCCACTCAGGATGGCAACAGTCAGGCATTCGCTCCATAGTCTTAAAGGTCATTTATAGCTCTTTATAGCTAGCGTTACCAGTAACGCCTTGTCTTAATGTATATTGAACCCTGTGTAACTGAGGGCTGGAGGGTCCGGCGCACTCTATATAAGCCACCCCCTCCTCGGGTACAAGGGTTCACACCCCCTGTAACTCTCACGCATAATCCAGTCGACCAAGCCTCCGGGCATCGAGACGTAGGGCTATTACTTCCTCCGAGAAGGGTCTGAACTCGTAAATCTTGCATGCACAACCTCACTGTAGCTAGGGCCTTGCCTCCTCCTACATACCCCCTTTTCTTACTGTCAGACTTGTTCCCACGGCAGTGGCAGACACAGAGGGTTCGATAGCAGAGCCGAAGCGGAAGATAGTTACTTGAGGTTGACGCTAGCGCGAGAGAGGGATCAGAACCGATGCCTCAAAAACTACTATATGTCACTTAACTTGTATCGCTATATCGTGATTATGATGAGACGGCATGATTTGTGTTGGATGATATGATGAAACTATCATGTGTATGATATGATGAGCATATTGCATGCTTATGATATGATTAGAATAGTGTATAAAACTTATACAAAAACACCGCAAGTACGTAGCTGAAAAAATGTATGTGAAAATATAGCAGTAGCGCTCTTTAGCAGGAAGCAGTAGCGCCGCACAGAAGCACCACAGTTATTTATCAGTAGCGTTGCATAGACAAACACTACTGCTAAGCTACTTATTAGGAGTAGCGCGTTTCTGGACAACGCTATTGCTAAGTAGGTATAGCAGTAGCGTTGCTACAAGTTAAGTGTAGTGCCTCCCACTACGCTACTACTAGGCATTTGACCCGCGCTACTGCTAGGTTTTTCCCTAGTGGTGTCTGTGCCATATCGAGCACACAATTCACAACAAAAAACGTATGCGATGTCTATAATTATCACACACAATTCTGATTACTGACTTGTTTGCTGGATATCACACACATCTTGTTACACGCCGAATTGTTTTTGTTCCTCTGGATCGTCGCAAACAATTTATTCGAATGAACTATATGTCGTCTATCGCACACATCTGGATTTGGGTAACGGTTTATGTATTTTTGTGTCATCGCAAACAATTTGTATGCATCAACTGTAGGCCACGTATTGCACACGCAACCCTTTTCTTAATCGTATTTTATGTGTCCGCCATCGCACATAGTGTTTTTTATTGGTGACGGTTTTATTATCATACCATTTGTGATTCATGCATCGCACACAGTTTGGTCGAAGGGTCTCCGATACATGTGTTGCGTTAGCACCATCCCGCAGTAGCACAAACATAATTTCAAATTTTCGAACATTATTTGTAAACATGAGTTTTTTGGAATAGCAAATAGTTTTCCAAATTCTGATCATTTTTTAAAACTGTGAAAATAGAAACAAAAATGAAAAGAAGAAATAGAGAAAAGAATTCAAATTTTGTAAAACAAATGAAAGTGAAATAAAAACAAAAAGGAAAAGGAAAGGAAAAACAGTCAAGGAGGATTAACAACAAAAGGAAAAAAGCCAGAAAGAACCGTGAAGAAAAAAAAACGTTTCCTAGCCACTTGGGCTGGCCCATATGCGGTTTGCTCGCTGCAATGCAATGGGCCTTGGGCCGCGCACGTCTCTCTCGGAATAGAGCAAGGGAGGAAAACCCTATTTGCCGCTCTAGCAGAAGCAGAGCAAGGGATTCGTCTACAGCTCGGAGCAGCAAAGGGGTTCGGCTTAGATCCAAGCATGCCGCCGGCTTTAAAGGCGTGGGGCTGTAGATCGAGAGAGAGGTCAGGCGGCGGCGACTCGGGAGTACGAGCTCGACGGCGGCTGAGCATTTGTCGGGTTCGGGAGTTGGAGAGGATGAGGGGGAGGCGGCGGCGCGGCGGGCGCTTGGGGTCTCGGCATCCGACCTCAGGTCCAAGCTGCCGATGGAGGCTTTTGCGCCGCGAGCACGCTGAGAGCCTGAGGTACCTGGACGACGGCCACGGCGATGCACGAGGAGGCGAGCCCGAGGCGGTGGGCGGCGGCGGATCCAGTCATGATCCTCCTTGAATTCCCCGTCGTCGTGCTACAAAGGGCGTCTTCGCCCACATCTCCTCACGCCGGTGGGCGTGCCGCCTTCGGCCGCGACTCGGTAAACGAACAGAGCATGTGCTCGCGGCGGAGGATGCTCTCTCACTCCCGCGGAACGCTCGCCTCGCCCACCACCATGGACAAGGTAGGTACCCTCCTACAGCGTAATGTTGTTGCTTCCCAGCTGTTTGCCGCGTCATGCTCCTGCTTCCCACTGTTTGCCGCGTGATGCTCTGCTGCTGCTACTACTTTGCTACTGCTGCTAATTTGCCCCTCTGGAACTCACAAGGAAGATACAAATTTTGTGACTAAAGCATATTTGATCAGCTGTCCTGTTACAAAACATAGATTTTTTATAGCATCAGGCAAAGAATCATAATGTGCACTCAGTTCACACAGCACACACTCTTTTTCTTTAGGGAAACATATACGAAATTGTGATTTGAAAGGACTATCAATCTACATAAATCATGGAAAGTTTCCTAGTACATTTTTCGGTGCGGGTTCATTGAGGAGATTCAAGATACAATCTGCTGCTGCTAATTTGCTGTAGTGCTATTTTAAAGATGATGATGACAGATTACCACCATCAAGCATTTGCTAATGTCGAGGTAGAAATTTTCTATAGTTGCTAGCCAATGGAAAAAGCAAATCAGCAAGAATTCTATTTCTCATTAGATGAATGCCAGAAATGGATTATTTCTTTAGATTATGAACTTAGCACACTGTGAAATAGTACAACAATGTGTAGAATATGAAGTTCAATGAATGGCTGAAGATCATTATGGACAGGCTCAGCTTGCACCATGTCACTTGATTCGTTTATTTAGGTGATGATGTCAGAAGAAGGTAAATTGTTAGGTTTTCAAGTAGATTCTCATACGGTGTCCCTGGTTATAGTTAGTGACATGTGTTATCAGTAGGTTCTCATACGGTTGCCAGCTATCTGTTCCTGAACGGTTTGTGGCAAGATAGTGGGAAAACACATCAGTTGTTCCAGCACTTATGATGAATGTTGCCCTCCTGAGAAGTTGATCAGCTCTTCTTGGTCTGACTAATCTTTGGAGGTTTATTCTGTTACGCCATAGGTCCTCGACTTGATTGGAAAATGATAGTGTATTCTATCATGGAGAAAAAAAAACACAGCTAGCTAATTAGTACCTAAAATACTGGCTCTGAATAATCAGAATAGCTTGATTTATAAACTTGCTATCCACTCTTTTGTGATCTTGCAACTAGTTGAATTTGGTGAATGTTATTTCTGTATGTAATTGGCATGTGCTAGTAGAATGTTACTCCCTCAGTTCACATATATAAGATGTTCTACCTTTTTCTCTGATTCAGATGCATATAGATGCATTTTAGTGCGTTTGTTCACTCATTTCAGTCCGTATGTTGTCCATATTGAAATATAGAAAACATCTTATATTTGTGAACAGAGGGAGTATTTCTTTATGTAATTAATTGGCAAGCGCTGTTGGAAAGTGACAACAGAAATTTTCTTGCTATTGTGGCAGGCAGCAAAATGGAGCTATTCTTTCCATTAGCATATTCCAGAAGGATTTATTTTGCACATAAAAGTGATGGCTTGGGCCTTCGCCACCATTGCGGCATCAGTTTGCACGTTGTCGCTCCACTTGTATTGCTGGTTGCAAAGTAAGGTGCGAACAATCCATCGCCGTATGTTAGGAGGTGAAACTTAAGCACTATGTAAGCTCAACAACTTACTTCCAGTACAAAACACAAATTTGGATTAGGTTTGTTCAGTGCAACCTGCTTCTCATTCCTAAGCATTAATGCTTCTAATGATATTGCAGATTGTGAAAATTTCTCTAGCGTTGTGGGTGCTGCTGCTGTTGCATTTAAATTGGTTTGTCCAAATCGACAGTCCGAGGCTCCAGCTGATGCAGTCGCAACCCCACCTCTAGATCAGCTCACCATCCAACCAGTTACACTTAGTTATGTGACAGTTTTGATTCATTCTACAGAATATTGGAACTCTGGAATGACCAAATCTCAATTCTGCTTCAAAGGTAATGATTCTGTTTTAAAAACCACCCTAAATTTGTCCACAATTGATGTTTACGACATGGTTATCTATTTCACACATTCTTATTCTATGTATATTGTGATTATATTTTCATTTCCTTAGTTGTGTTGCTGTTCAGTTGACTGTTAAGTTTACGGTTATTTCCCCCGCAAAAAAAGGGTTATGGTCTTTTATTCCAAAAGAGAAAAGCATGTTTCTTTGTAGGAGACTAGCTGCTATATAGACTTGCATATTTTGTAATGTTTCTTTTACAAACATACGATGTTATAGAGTGTATACACGGGCCTAGACATCTAGCCAAACCTACCTATAGCATTTCTAAAACAATATAATTATAACGGTTACATGTAAATTACGTGTGTAGATTTATCCCTTTTTTTCATACGCCTTAGTAGATTCTAAAAATATGCTGTGATGTATAAAAGTTTATGGTCAACGCTAGTTTAGTGTTTGGGTCAAATTATTATTTGAAAGTAGGGGTTAAAGTTTGCCAAGAAAAAAGCAGATTATTATTTCAGATTCATAGAGTATGACTATATCCCACCCGGTCTTGTTTCCATCAAAAGTGTGTCCCCACTTTGTTGAAGAATACACCTACCATTTTGGTAGTGGGACTAACTCATCTCAGCGGTTTTGTTTGGGCCTCATTCCCCTAATACGCTAGTAATAGTCTCATTTTCCATATTTCCCTTAGTCGCACTCCCAATCACTTCACGATCCAAGGAAGGGAATGCTAGCAGCCATGGCGACAGTGTCCCCTTAGGCCATTCATGCCACTTGAGAGGATGAAGGCTCTGGTGATGTCACACGAGAGACATCGGCGCAAGCGAGGTTGCCACCATCCCTGTTGCGACGACAATGCCACAATGGAGGGTAGAACAGGGTGGTGGGTAACAGCATTGCGAAAGGAGGTGCCGATCACTCATTTGACCCAGGGAAGGAAAAATAATGTGCAATGTTTTAGTCTCGTACTGCTACTGAATAAGGATCTCGGTCGAGAGAATCTAGAGTATGGTGTATGGTCTAGAAAAGGAGCAAGAGTGCACTCGAGCATGTTTAGGGGGAGGTATATTCGGGGCGGAGGCCACAGGGGGGAGCTATGCCCGGCTGGATGACCATAAAGGGCGAGGGAGAATTCCTTCTTTTAAGAATAAAAGTATACTCCCTTTGTTCACTATTATGAGATGTTTTGGATATTTTAATATGAACTACGTGCAGAAATGAGTGAACAAAACACACTGAAACGTGTCTATGTACACCTGATTCAGAAAAAAGTTAGAACATCTTATAATCATTAATGGAGGGAGTACTAGAGAATAAAATCCTTCCCTGGCTATTGGTGGATCAACAACACGAGTATGAAGAGATAGAGGATTTTTTGATCTGCACACTGGAGCATACGAAGGAAGCATCGACACCAATATGCTTGGTGAGCTATGTTGCACAGGGTCGTGCACAATACTGATAGCACATGTACTCTCCTACAACAGAGGAGTAGGTGAGTGACAACACCTATACTCTACAACAGAGGAGTAGGTGTAGTGACAGAAACAAAAAAAACCTTGAGCTACCATCATATGCCTTTGTTGTCAAAAGAGCCATAGTTTGCAACTCAGCCTTTGCACCAGTAGAAAGGAAAAGCGCAATCGGGTCCTTTGTCTTCTAGGCAATGAGAAAACCATCAAGAAAACATAGTAAGTAGAAAGGGACGTGCGAACTTGAGCATAGGAAGAGGTGAGACGGTAAGAGATATTTCCACAAAGATATCGTAGAACATGGGGGTGACTCAAGTGGATAAAAGTGAGAGTATAGACAAAGTGACTTAGAATGAGAACGTGATATGAAATGTCTGGACGAGTGACATCTGAATAGACAAGACTCTCAACAAGATGATGATAGCGTGTCAGATCAAACAAAGGTGAGTGTTGAGCTCCATGGGAGTGTCATGCACTTGAGAGGATGAAGGCTCTAGCAACATCGTGTGAGGGGCATCGGTGCTAGCGAGTTTGCCACCATCCTAGCCACGACGACAATGCCGCAGAGCTTATAGTGGAGGGTAGAGTAGGAAAGTGGAGCGACGGCGCCGCAGGAGGTGCACTCGAAGTCTCGAATGGTGTTTCTTCTTTCGGGCGAGTGCCAGATAGATAGACAAGGCTCACAACAAAATGTCGATAATGCGCTAGATTAGACAGTAGGTCAACATCAGTAGCAGGGGGTGAACATTGAGCTCCATGGGAGTCTCAACATGCGCTCATTAGTAAGAGCAGCGCGAGTAAGAAGATCCTAAATTATTATTTTTTAGCATGAAGGGACCTCAATCCCAAGAAAGTAGCAGAGAGGGCCAAGATAAAACATAAGAAACTGCATACTAAGACATGCCTTAACAAAGGCAATATACTCACGGTCTGCGTCAGTGATGATCATGTCATCAACATATAGAAGAAGAGTCCTACCAAGAATAGAAAGGAGGACAAACAATGTCGGATCATGAGCACTCGATGAAAACCAGCAGTAGCCACCATAGAGGCAAAACGCTCAAACCAGGTGTGAGGGGCTTGCTTAGAGCCATAGTGAGAGCGATGAAGACGAGAAAGCATGTCGTAAGGAGCAGCTCACCATTAAGTAATGCATTCTTAATATCAAGCCTAGACACAGATCAGTGGCAAACCGAGGCCACAATAAGAAGTGTGCGAATAGTGGTGAGCAAAAGTCTCATCGTAATTAGGACCATGCTCCTGCTGAAAGCCATTACCCACAACACGAGCTTTGTAACGCCCAAGAGAACCATCAGAGTGAGTCCTAACCTTGTAGATCCACCAAGTGATGGGACAAACACGAGGAGGAACATATACAATATCTCACGTGCCGATGCGCTCAAGAGCAGCAGTCTCCTCTGCCATCACAAGGTGCCATTTGGTATGAACATCACAATAAGAAGTTGGCTCAAGAACAATAGCACCAACGCTTGGAAGACCTAGGCGGTCAACAGGCCAAAGCGGACGAGGACTCAAGCCATCCACAGCACGTAGACGTCCTGTATAGAAATTAGGAAAAGATGGAAGAATACGAGTTGGAATCATCGGGATAAACTCAGGTGATGTAGACAAGGAAGCCACCGGTGATGAAGGTGTAGAATCATGTGATAAGCGAGGTGAGGAAATTATAGAAGATGATGGCATTGGTTCTACAATAATCAGAGAAGCAGGAGCAGTACGACAACTGGATAAGGGCTCAATAGGAGTGGTAGGAGTGCCGGGAAATTGTGGAAATAGATATACTCCACTTAAAAGCCCGAAGAAGGACTCAACAAAAATCATATCCCGAGAAATAGCCATCCGACGACCAACATGATCCCAACAACGATATCCCTTATGCTCATCGTTGTATCCTAAGAAGACACACTCAACAGACTAACAAGTCAGTTTGGTGCGTTCACGAGGGGCAAGAAGGACATAGCAAACATAACCAAACAATTGAAGCGATGAATAAATGATCAAATAGACGCTCGAAAGGAGTGTCACCCTGCAGAGCAGTGGATTGCTAAAGGTTGATGAGATAGATGAAAGTGGAGACAAACTCGACCCAAAAGTGCGACGGAAGGGATGCGGTGACCATAACGGACGAGTCGTCTCAAGAAGGTGAGGATGCTTGAGCTCAACCACGCCATTTTGAGCATGAGCACCAGGATAAGAGAACCAAAGTCTGCTAAAAAAGGATTCCACCAGTCATCATAGAACACACGAATAGGTGTAGAGAACTGAGTGTGAACCATGGTAGCAAAAGGCTTATAAGACCTCACTACAAGAAGAAATAAAGTATATCCAGGTGTGTCGAGAGAAGTTACTACCGGAGGCAAAGGGAGATGGACCCCTGAGATCATATTGAACAAGGTCAGAAGGACGACGAGACACTTTCTCGCTATGATTATAAGGTAATTGGACCGTGGATTAGAGACATCATCGGAGACGGATCCAAGAAGACCAAGTCGAACTAAGGATGAGAGATAACAAGTGATCCAAGGGGATGATGCCAATCATGAAAATAACTGGTAGACAAGGTAATAGAGGCAGAGACTGGCGATGATGGCAGCGGAGGGACTTGATCTAGCATCCCACGTGCCTATGCACTCTTCGTACCCCACTGATCCGGCTTGGCGTTCTTTTCCTGTTTGCGGGTTGTGGGTCACGCACTTGATTAAGCACCCCAGGTTCTCCTATCGCGCCCTTGGCCTCAACTTTAGGTAGCGCCTGTCCTCGGCTCGTCCTGTGCATAACCCAGGTACGCGTCGACTACCCGAGCTCCTGCTCACCATTGGTGGTGCTCGAGCGTGCGGTTATGGTGTCGCACATAAAGGGAACACAGGATGTGGGATTGAGACAATACTCATAGCAGCCCGCAGCAAGGCAAAGAATGCCCATCCAGACTGGTAGGGAGCAAAGGTGGGGCACAAAGGTGGACGTTGGCTCTAGTCTCAATAGTGCGCTCATCAGTAAGAGCAGCATGAGCAAGAAGATTTTGGATATAGTTCTCTTGGGAAATAAGCAACAATCTCAAGGAAGTAGTGAAGAGGACCAAGATTCAGTAGTGACCTTATCACTAAGAGCAGCACAAGCAAGATCCTAAATGTACTTCTCTTGGGAAATAAAGAAGCCATCAGAGGTGGACGAAACCTCAGTTCCAAGTAGTGAAAGGGACCAAGATCACACATTAAATCTATTCACTAAGACGAGCCTTCAAAAAGGCAATGCACTCAAAGTTGTTGGTAGTGATGATCATGTCATCGACATATAGGAGCAAAGCTCGACCATGAGCTTAAAGATGGATATAAAGTGCAGAATGATGAACATTAGGCAAAAACTAGTTGTAGTCATCGATGAGACAAAAAACCTCAAACCGTGCACGAGGGCTAAAGGCATAGGGAGAGTGACAAATACGGCAGATCATGCCATCAGGGGAAAATATCTATGTGGTGGCTACATGTAGACCTTCTCATGCAACTCACCATTAAGAAAGACATTCTTGACATCAAGCTAAGAGACAGACCAGTGGCGAGCAAATACCACAACGAAAAGTGTGCGAAGAGTGGTCATGTGGGCCATATGAGAAAATGTCTTGTCGTAGTCATAGCC